CGATGAGAAATTTCCTCGCCGATTGGCAAAATTTTTCATTTTCGACTTCATTTTTAAATGTGGAACTTGATCAAATTTTATTTAAAAAAATCTTGACAAATAAAAAATTTACAGCGTATTTTTTACATCGTAGAATTTAATATCGTGTAAATGGAATCGGTCGTATATATTTGGTGTACTGGTTTGCGATAGAAATTCGTATCAACGAGATCGAGGCGAGAAATAAGGGAGGCAAAAGAATTTATCAAACGTGACACGGTTGGTTTTGTTGTCGTTCGAAGGGAAAATTTCGAAAATCTGCGAAATTGGAAGCGGAAGGGAAAAGGGTGATTTACGCACGGTTGAAATTTTTTGCGATGCATAGAAAATTTGTGAGAAAAGTAACATGCAATTGAGTAATAATAAAAATTGGAATTCACAGTTTGCGCTTATAATATAGGATATTGAAATTTGATCTCTTTTCTTTTGTATTTTAAGTTTTGGTATATAACGAATAAGTGCCAAAAAATCAGGAACCAAATTTTGCAATTATAAAGTAATAGTATTGAAATTTAAGAGAAATTTGTTTGTATTGATGGATAAATGCCCAAAAATTCTTAAATTTTACACTTATACAATAGTATTTATCAATAAATCTCAAAAAATTCCTAAATTTTACACTTGTGAAGTAATAATATTGAAATTTAAAAGAATTCTTTTCTATTGATGAAAAAATATTCAAAATTCCTAAATTCCTTCTTGCACTTATGGAATAATAGTATGAAATTTAAAAGAGTTCTTCTGATGAATCTTATTGATGAATAAATGTCTAAAATTCCTAAATTTTGCATTTATGGAATAATAGTATTGAAATTTAAAAGAATTCTTAAATCTTGCATTTATGGAATAGTAATATAATAGCATAATATAATTCTAATATGACTCAATCATAACTGTGAAGATTTCTCTTTGTATTTTGATTAAATGTCAAAACTCAAACTGTACTTATGGAATAATATTTGAAATTTAATTCCACTCCAGCTCATCGATTACAATACAATTTTTTACAACGATTTACAATTTAAAATTTTCTTTATATTTTTTTTATTTACATAAAAAAAGGATATTGAAAGAAAAACAGAGCTGTATCAATTTAAATAACAATATCCTATGTTCTTTCGTATTTTAACCTATATTTTATTGCACAGAGTCTTTTTAATGCAGTGGTAGTGTAATTAACCTATTTTTTTTTTTTTTTACACTTTACCATACAATTTTCTCACAATAGATAAAAGAATAAAGAAAAAGTAATAAAAAAAATGGAGAAAATATTAAAATAATATTTGCAATAATTTATTTATATCGTATTATCTCTTTTGTATTTTTATCGTATCAGATAAATCTATCTAAATATATTCATCTATCTCTCACGTGTTCCAATAAAAATCTTCTTATTTACGATACCCACGATACCTCTTGTTACACAAGACAACTAACCAACCTGGGACTACTGATTTGTCGCATGTTTCGCTGTAATTTCTACAATTAAAACTTACGTACGTTTCATTTTTCATTTAACCACAATAACAAATGATATTCGAACGATAAAACAGTCCCAAATAATTTCATTTAATTTTATTTAGTCCTTGTAAAATAACCGAGATATCGTTGCAAAATAAATCCGTTTTTCCAGCGATCAAATCCAGCACGACGTTCAAAAGGATTATTTAGAAAGTGGAGTGGGCCACCCGGTGTGTAAAAGGCGTGCAGTTTTAATCAATGCGCTCAAATATATCCGAAACTAAGCGAGATACGTTACGCTTTCTTCTTTCGTCGTATTTTACCGTTTTGAAACGGTAGATCGATATCAAGGCCACGATGCATTTCCTCGATGAGAGACGGTATTACTGCTCGAGAACCGTACGAACGTGAAAAGTTAACAAAAATTTCCCACGGTAAGATATATAGAGGCAAGATAAAACGTAATGTAATGATAGTTCATGCAAATTTCAGAATTTCTGGAACATCGAGCGAATCTATCAAGCAGAATGCAAAAGTAAAATGCTCTTTTGAAATTAGTTAGACAGTTTTTCGTAACTAGTTTTTCGGATTGTCCGAAAAGTAACTTCGTTTTTTTTTTCACGACAATGAAACACCGAGTCGTTTCATGAACAGTCGAATTCCACAAATTCAATCTCGTAGCAATTTCTCGAATTGTTATTCGTCGATTTTTCTTCAATCGATGCTTTTATTTTGTCCTCATCAGCTTCAACTAATCTTCCGAAACGTGGCACACATTTTTAACATCGAAACGTCGAAACGAAATTTTGAAAACTAGCTGGTGTACTGTTATATAATCTTCTCTATGGAGCATTTTTATCTTTTCAGTAATAAAAAAGTAAAATATGCCGAAAATGCTCCTTCCGGTTTCGCATCTTTATCACGCGCGAGAAACATAACCGCACATAATCGAATGAATCTTTCTTATAAATAAACTACGAAATGCCAACTCTCGAAATATAGTAATAACAACGCAGTTTAGAGTGAAGTTGGCTGGATAAACTTCGACTAGCGACGCTCGTGTGAAAAAAACGAAACTACTTTCCGAACAGCTCATATATACATGTATACATTCGAAGAATTTTTCGAACGATTTCAATTCTAAATTCACCTTACGATTATTCGTTATTCGAATTGTTAACAATCGAAAAATTTTATCAAATAAGAAAGAGAAACGAGATCGAGAAAAAATTAAAAACATTTCAAGAAATGGTAAGATTAATTTCGAAGAATTGTCCAATGAGCTGATCAACGAATTGAGAAATGGAGGAAGAGGTGGAAAGAGAGTGGGGAGAGAAGAAGAAACGAAAGTCTGTCAGTGGAATCGACTTTATCCATCGCGACCAATTACACACACGTGGCGTTATTTCAGCCTTCGAAGATAAAAATGTAGCGATGCTTTCTCTTCAGAGTTTGAAGAGTAGAAAGGGAGAAATGAATCAGAACCGTGACTCGGGAAATATTCTTGTGTCTTGGCAACGGTGAAAAATTAAGCGCGAGAGATATTCTTCGAGCATCATATTATTGGAATCGAGAGACGGGGTCAATGTTCACGATGATTCGTTGACAAAAAAAAAAAAAAAACGAAAAATCAATTAGGAAGACTGTTCGAGAATGGAGTAGAAGAGCTCGTGCAAAATTTTTTTTTTTTTAGATTAGAATATCAAAAATTTATTTGTATAAAAGACTTATTATTGCAACGAAAATATATTCGTCAATTTTTAATTTCCAGAAAAATGATTTGATTGAGATCTACATCGATGGACGATTGTCTGCAAAACGTGTTCATGTGTGCTATCCACGGATAACGGAAGATATTATACAAGTCCTGGGGGCAGTTTGCGAATAACTATTGATCCATATTTTGGCCAGTAATCGGACCAAATGTGAGTGCACGACACTATCTGTATCGCGGTCTGATAAACCGTGACGATTGTTAACGAACAGTGCACAAGGATTGTACGCATACAATTGTCCGTGAATTTGGTAAATATTGAATTAGCATCCAAATAACTTATATATAAACTTATATACTTAAGGAGCAATGACACTTAAAAATTTCAAATTATACTTTCTATTTTTTTAGAACAATATATCAAAGTTGGAATGATACTATTGAAACTTAATTCCAAAAGAATCTTGATAAAGGATACTTTGTAATTTTTAGAGAAGAGCAACATTAAAGTCAAATTTGCCATTTCTTTATATTCAAAATTAATCAGTAGTCAGATTTTGCAGTTGGATAAGTGTCCAAGCAACTGGAAACTAATATATTTAAAAAGTAATAACATTTAAAACTTAATTTTAAAAGAGTCTTGATATTTTCTAATTTTGAAAGAAGAACAATATTAAAATTGGATTTATGATTTATATTTAAAATTTATACTTAAGATAATATTACTGAAACTTAATCCCAAAAGAATCTTATATATAAATGATATTTTCTAATTTTTAAAGAAGAGCAATATTAAAATTGAATTTATCATTCCTTTATTCAAAATTGATCGACGTAGAGTTTGCGGTAAATGTTGAACAAGTGTTCAAAAAACGCTTAAACTCTTAAAGAGTAAATAATATTCAAATTTAATCCCAAAATTGACAAATGATATTTTCTAATTTTCAAAGAATACAATTTCCACTTTTCTTTTTCATTTTCCATTTTCATCCTCTTGCCAGTCAAACGACGTTTAAAAAAACACACCATACACATACACACAAAAACACAACGACTTTACGAAACTTGTCTTCCCCATTGTCGAGTTCAAACACCTATTTCTCACATACAAGAAATTCCAATCCTCATCGCTTCTCTCATTCCTCGAGATAACCCAACCCATCCAAAACCAAATATCTCTGAATCCAAACTCATTTTAATTAACCGATAAACACACGTTCCTCCTTGCTCCAACAACCACTTAAAAAAAAAAAAAAAAAAGGAACGCAGAAGCAAAAGAAACGAACGCGATTTTGAAAATCCTCCTCCTTCTCTACCTTTCCCCCTTCCCCCTTTTCACTCCCCCCTCCTTCCTCCCTTCTCCTGGCCACGCGAAACGCGATATCCTATCCCCGAACACAAAGCGGATCAGTTGAACAATCGGCGCGGAGGCGTCGGGACTCGTCGTCCCGCAGGACGAGTCGTCGGGTTCGAGGCCCCGAGTGCCACTCGGCCAACCGAGTCCCTGTCCCTCTGTTAACTCTCCCCTCCCCCCTCATTTCCCCCTCCCTCCTCGCTCGCGAAACAACACCGAGAACACGCTCGAAATACGCGCGCGCGTCGATTTCCACCGGAGAGAGAAAGAGAGAGGGAGGGAGGGAGGGAGAGAGAGCGGAGAGCTTCCGTCTTCCCCCTCTCCACGAGTGCAGTCCCACGAAGCTCGGTGAGCTCCATCCATCCACTCGGGAACTCAGTACTCTCTCGCGCCCCGAGCCGAGTGAACCGCTCCTATCGTCTCCTTCCTATCTCGACTCCCCTCTAACTCTCTCCTCCTCGTCCTTCGTTTTCATTCCCTCCTCGTACAACATAGTAGCCGCGTTTCTTCCTGCCTTCCGACTCCCCGCTCCAACATCGAGGAACGCGCGCGCGTGTGTATTAAAGAATCGTGGGCGATTTGAAAAAATTGGCCAACGACACGGCACGTGTGTGTACGTGGCGGATAAAAGAGTTTAAAAAGTTGAAAAAGTTTTTGTGAGAAACGTGGTGATTGTGGTTGTGCTTGTGGTGTGGTTGTGGTGCTGAAATAAAAAGTGGTGGAGTAGAGTAGTGGTGGTGGTGGTGGCTTGTAAATATGGTGAATCTTCGCGGAGACACACCCCCGGAGGAGACGTGACAGTAGGGGGATGAGAGGATCGGCGGTGATCACGATTCACAGCCGGTTGGATTTAAGTCCCGCAGTGAGGGACTCTTGCCTCTTGGTTGGCTGGACCGGGTGAGGAGTGGACGGGGTGGACAGAGAGCGAGAGAGAGAGAGAGGGGGGGATCTCTATCTGGGTTAATGCTTCATTAGTTTGTCCTTTTTCGTTCGGTTGCGTAGACGCCGCCTGTTAATTGGGACGATCAAACCCTTTCCACGTTTCGAGGGCGGTCTTCTCGCTCCCCCTCGCGGCCCGCGTGTTTTTATCACGCGTTAAGGTGATTGTGCACACGAGAGTTTTTTTTTTATTATTATCGCATTTTTGCCAGTTCTTTTTTTTCTTTTCGATTTTATTAATCTTGTGGGGGTCGAAGAGAGCGATCAGGTTTCAGATTTTTTTTTTTTTTTTTTTTACGTTTATCATTACCTCGTAATATATTCTTGTTATTTTTTCCTTGTAGATAAAAAAATTTTGTTCTACGCTGTAATCTCCTTCGATTTCGATATGACGAGTTTAAATTTAAAGATTTCATCGTGGAAGCCTTTTTTTTATCCAAGATTATTCGATATATATTTTGTTTCATTTTTATGACTACCTCGTAGTTCATTCTTATTATTCTCTTTTGTGGATAAAAAAATGTGGGCAAATTTTCTTTTACGTTATCGTTGTGATCTCTTTCAATTTAGATACGACGAGTTTGAGGTATGAATTTAAGAATTTCATCATGGAATAATCTTTTTTTATCCAAGATTATTCGGTATCTTTTTTTTTTTCAAGTTCATATTGATATTAATAAAATTTCTCCGAAATTCGTCGAAATTCAAGCATTACTCTCTCTCTCGAATAAATTTCCCGATATTTTTCTTTTTTCTTGTTCCCTTTTTTCGCGTTGGAAAGTAGTTATTTGAAAAACAAATTTATCGAATGAATTCCTTTTGCACCACTTTTGATACTTTTTTTTTTTTTTTTTTTTTTAGCAATTCCTTCGTTAACACTCTTACTTACGCACGCGTTTAATTTATTATTCTGGGAGGGGAGGGGAGGGAGGAGGATGAAAGAAGGGAAATGAAATGCCTCGGGTAAAGAGTTGAAGCTCTTCTATTCGAGAAACAAACATTGATCGAACATTTCGACACGTGAATAAGAAGATGAACTGTTTGATGTAAATAAGAAGATTTTCTTTCTTTTTTTCTTTTTTTTTTTTTTCCAACTTACTTTCGAACGAAGCTTTTCAAATTTATCGAATTAAGCAAAGATTGGATTATCGAGCGAAGATCTTTAAAATAATTTTGTTTGACGATGATGATGAGTGAACAGAACAGAACAGGGAATTCGAGATAATTATTCGACGATATTTCTCGTATATACAGTTCCTCTTCTGGTCAATCGTCGGTGACTTATCAAAAGCGTAATATTTAAGATTAAAAGAATCTCATTTCCTCTCCCCTCCAGGCGAAAGAAACGAGATTGGATCGACCTTTGGATCGGAAAAACCAAAGACACCCTTCTTCTTATTTTTATTCAACGATTCAAAATTCTCGATTCGAGAAATTATTAAATTTCAAAATTACGCAAAATTCAAAATTTTACGAAACTCATCACACATAATAAATACGTACATCTCGTATTTACATACATCGCACACATTTCGTCACATCGTGCAAAGACTTAACCGCTCGATAAAAACAGTGAACAGGTTTCAACAATTAAATTTCTGAATTAATATCCAAAAAAGAGGAAAGCAAAAAAATAAATAAATTTCCCCTCAACCTCTTCCTCCCCCCTTTCAAAGATGAATTGAACGTTCCATTCCTCAGCGGTGTGGATGGAACTGTGTCATCGGTGGAACAACTTTTCGAAACAATCTTCCAGAGGCCCAATCGAATCGAGGACGCACTCGCCGCTAATTAACTCTCGGATCGTGCTTAAAGGGGGGCCGAGACCATCAATTGAATCAACAATCGAAACTCGTCGTCGCGGTGATAAGTCGAAATGGTAAAATCCATGGACGGACATATTTTTCAAACTCGATGGATACTCGAAAGGATACTTCTCATTTTATGAAACTATTTTACGATTCGCGCGCTTTACGTTTCGTGAAATGAACGTGGACAGAGAGAGACATATAGAAAGACGGGGAGGGGGAGAGAGAGAGAGAGAGACATATAGAAAGACAGGGGAGGGGGAGAGAGAGAGAGAGACAGACAGACAGACAGA